CAGTGCATTATGGTCCATATAAATTATAGAGCTGCGGCAGTGTTAAATTAGACAGCATTCATGGCACAGAATCTCCATTGATACAGTGACAATAATATTAATCCTCCCAAACTAGAAAATCCCATTTCCATCAATTTTCCATGGTGTTGTTAAAAAGTCACTGTGAAGAGCATTAATGATAAAAAAGAATGCATCATTATTTATGATATCTACAACCATACGTTAGCTATTTCAGCTTTTTACTTCTACCCTGAATGTGATACCGCTGATTCAACACTGATCTTCTTTGTTGGCACCAGGCAGAAATTGATGCAAACACCATGTGCGTGAGCAGGAAACTACACTCCAAGAATAGCTGGCTGACATGTTGAGTCTCCCAGAGTGGTTGAGAACTTACCAGAAAGAGGCAAAATGTGGAATTTGGCACATGCAAGTGTGACAACGCTTGAGAGGGATTTCTTGTCCACATGGTACTCGAGACACAGTGAGCGGTAACGGCATCAATGGATCAAGCGAGTTTACAAGAAAAACTAACCTTATTCCACATGTTGTGATTTGTTTACAGTGATACGTTCAGCTCACAGACATAAATCATAGTTAAATTGTATGAATCTGTACTATCTTTTCAGTTGGTTAGTTCACCATTTTTGTCCAGACTGAAATGTCTCAACAACTTTTACATCGATTCCTATGAAAATTTGAACAAACACTCCTGATTTCTAGAGGATGAATCCTAATGAGTTTGGTGACTGGTCACTGCCTTTTCCTCAGCACCATTATCGGGTTACCGTTGCTCCAGAGCATTTTGTATGGTACAGTGTGACATTTGTATACTACATTAATATTGTTATTGATCATCAACTTCAGCTTCTGAATAAATGTGAACACAAGAAGAAGTTATTATTCTATGGATTCAATAATCTACTTCTCCACAGTCTGCACTCATTAGGGAGTGCGAAGTTGACGTCATGTTGTGTTGAATTATGGGTTTATGCACACACTGTAGGACTTGCCCACTGCAAGTAGAAAAACATGTGTATTATGGCAAACTCATGCAAAGTGTACACACTCAGTCAAAAAAGCTCGACATTGTCTTAAGTAGTGTGCCTGGTCTGCAATCCAGTCTTGGGCTGCCAAGTCATATAAATGTATGTTGTTTGTTATTAGTTTGTCCAAATATCATTTATTGGCATTCAATTTCTCCCAGTAGGTAATCAGGTAACCACCATAGCAACCGGGAGGCTCACAGGTAAACACAAGATGGTGCTTGAGGAAAAGGCAGGTGGTCACCAAAGTCATTAGGATTCATCCTTCTGGAAATAACGAATTTTTGTACAAAATTTCATGGCAAACCATCAAAAGGTTGTTGAGATATTTCAGTCTGGCCCAAAGTGGTGAACCAGCCGTTACCTCACAAGATGGCGCCCCCGTCCCAACAGGCAGCGGGGGTGTTTACATTTTAAAATCATCATATTCCCTGAGGAAGTGAATAGATATCTAACAAATGTATGAAAATGACCAGAGCAGGTTATGAAAACAAAACAGAAAATAGTTTGACCACAAGCCTCCAAATGGAAAAGTCTGCCTGGATGGAATGTACTGTCTGATGTAATCTGCTAAACAATTCAAATTTTTTTTTACAGGCTGTCTCATGTGGTGGCAGGTAAACAAGAGCAAATTCCTCAAGGTTAGGATAAATGGAGGAGGTCACATTGGTATAACAGATTAATAGGATTCCCTATTAAGGAGGACGGCTCTTACATTACTTATAAACAGGAATAATAATTGTAAGGAAAAAAGAAAGAACCAGCGACTGTGAGCCATGAAATTGCACAATTTGGTTTTGCACATTGCCTCGATGAAACCTTTCATTTGGAATAATTAACCCCTATCGCTCCGATCCTCTGTCCTATCCTCCTCCATCGCTCTGTCTTCCTCTCTCATTTTTTAACGCCCTCCTTCCACTGCAATGGTCCAGCAGCTGAGAGAGGAAATTATAATGTTCTCTCTCTCTGTCTCTCATTCCCTCTTTCACACTTAGCTCTCTCTTCTGGCTTCCTGGCACAACTGGTCATGCATTTGGCTTTTTCTGCCGACGTGATTCACAGTAACCACACACACACACAAAATGGACGTACATGCTCAAATGCAACATTGAGTCATGCTCTGGTTGTCTGTCTTTCTGACTAACTGGGGGCCGGGGGATTGTCTTGTGCAATCTCCAGGTGGTGGGCTGCCGTGTGAAAGCGTACAACCTCTTTCATCTTAACACTGTCCTTGCTACACTGACAAACCTCAAGAAGTACCCTGTGACAAATTTGAAAGTCCAGGTCAGACCCTAATAATTTAGACTGAAATTTCAACAGATTTAGATGCGCTGCTAGGTGGATTTTGTTATTTTTGGACAGAGTACGGGTATCTTTTTAGCCCTGTCTCCAGTCTTTGTGCTAAGCTAAGCTAACCTAACCGGCTGCTGGCTCCAGCTACATATTTACTGCACAAACGCAAGAGTGCTATTGATCTAACTCACAGAAAGAACGCAAATAAGTGTGTTTTTGTTGGACAAAATATTCCCAACTGAAAACAGCTTATCAAGAGATCCATCTAAACTCCATTTGTTCATGAAGACTGTGTGATATGGCTAAAGTGGGAGCTGCAGATGAAGCGATTATAAATTGACCTTGAGTTAAGATTGTCAAATTACAACACAGGTTTTGTTTTTGTAAATTCAAGATCCACTTTTTGATAGATATCACCAACAAAATTTTATTAAATGTAAGTCAGAGATTCACCACCCGAGCCTTTGGTGTCACCCGATGACATTTTTGTCGTTTTGTGGTTTTTGTCTCCAAGAATTCTCTCAATTTAGCTGATCCAGAGCCTGTTGACTAGGTTAGTTCAGAAGTTAAATGTGTACAAGGACACATAATAACGACTATCCTGAGTGGTTTATCTCTCTCAAAATACATTTGTTTGACTTTCTCTGTTTCTTTGGCAGTGATACCAAAAACCTGACATCTGTGGATAAATAACACCTTATTCCCACCTTTTAGACTAACTAAGCATACTGTAAACAACCTGTATCTTAAACTCGCTCACAGATTTACTGTAGATATATTTATATGCCATCACCTAGACAGTTAGTAGGTCTACCTGTCATACATCTCTGTGCTTCATTCACCCAGCCCTTTCTCTGATGTATGGCTCTTTAACACTAGATGCATCCTCAGCCCCCGAAAACTTGTCATTCAGATGATGGTTTTTGATGATGCTGTAAATTGCAGACAGCTTGTTTATCACAAGTGGCTGTGGAGTGCCAAAATAACACGTCCACAAAACAAGCTCAAGCGATTATTCTTAACATTATACCAGCTATATCTGAGCCCTTATATGTCTCATTTCAGAGGATGTAGCTGAGGTTTGGGGGAGGGAATCCCCTTTGATCTCTAGCAGAAACTGTGCTGGATATATAGACTCCCTCCTTGGGACTTTGCTGGTGTTTGCATTCCTGTCAGAGTGAGGAGGCTGCAGTCTGGCGCCTGCCTCCTGCATCCCGCGATATAACTTCAAGGACATCACATCACAGGGGAGCCTGGAGGGAGGCAGGTTGATGTATCACTACAACAGGTATCACACCTACCCCATCTGAAGCAGGTGAGAGACTATTTCACTGCAAAAGCGCAAGTATTATTTTATTGTTCATTTCCTGAATAATAGCTTATTGATGTGTAATATGATAGTGTCATTGGTTTCAGGACTGACTCTTGAGTGTATTCTCTCAGAAAAGTGAATTTCAAAAGTTACACCTTCCGGTAGTTTGACATTTCGGTAAACAGAGCATGCTTAATCACTTTCTTGCTGAGAGTTAGATAAGAAGATTGATAGCACTCATTCTAGCCACCAGTCAGCAGGTGATAACTTAGCTTACATACTGTAGTTGAAAGAATAGAAGACAAACACAAAATTATAGAAAACAAACTAAAATGTTTGAAATTCTGTTTAAAAGAATAGTCTGACATTTGGAGAAATACACTTCTTGATTTTCTTGTCAAAAGTTAATGAGAAGATTAATACCCCTCTGATTTACAGTAAATATAAATCTAACACCAGCAGCCAGTTAGCTTAGCATAGCACAAAGACTGGAAACAAGGGGCCTGGGTCTGTCCAAAGGTAACACATCCACTTACCACCACCTCAAATGGTGATTAATTAACATCTTAGATCTCCTTTTTTAAATTTGACCAAAACCCGAAGTGTAAAAATTCACATTTTTATAGGCTACCCACTATTTCTTGGCAGTTGAGTCTCAGCTGGTTGCTTGGCAAGACCTCCCTTCAAGAAAAAGGTGGCAAAGAACTAACCCTCCTTAAAATGTGCATTTTATGTTACTATAATTCGTTTTTTGTATGTAATTAACAAATGAGATATAATGTTTATTAGTGGGACTTACAGGTGTTGGTAGGCAGATTTTGTTGTGTCTTTTAGACAAAGCCAGGCTAGTTGTTTCCACAGACTAGGTATTTAGCTTGCTAAGCTAACCTAAGTAAACCTATTATACTATATATATATAGTTATGTACTATAAATTATTCCTTTAACAGTTTGTATAATAGTAGTCAAAACATAGCTCATTTTATTCTAAAATATAGCCCAATTATTTAGCCTTCAGACTTTACTTGAGTGAAGTGAGATTCCTGCTGTCCAAAGCACATCACTATTTTCTCAGTCTAAATTAGCCTAAACAAGGAAGATTAGCCTACTAAGTGAAATACCTGTTTCCAGAGAATTCTATAAAATGAGTGCAATTGCCCTGGAAATGAGAAACACCTGAAATCATGTGTCACCCTGTTAAACATCTTTATAGTAGTGATTAAATTTGACCATATGGGTGTTTTTTTCTCTCTTGAGTCTGTCCTCTATCTGAATTTTGGCAGGACAGAGTCGTTGTGTCATATTTCCCCTCCTTCCCCATCCTTCCCTTCCCCGGTCCCTTACAGCTCTCCGCCCATCAGAGTATTGACGGTGTGTGGCGCACGGCGCACAGCGTGGACTTGGAGACGTCTTGGCAGTAGACTATTACGCACGACACGATAAACACGAAAGCCTCCTTTTTGAGGGATAGGACACTGAAGCTGAACTAGACTGACTTTCAACTTCTGATTTAGAAAGCACTTCTGCGGCCGCCTCTTCAAGACATTTTTCCTGTCGGCGGATGAGACTCGGATCCTCTCTTCGCAGCAGCAGTAGTTTCTGGATGACTCCCCCCCCCTCTTATCCCCGGGTCACGGCGACTATAGAGGAAGAGAAACGATGTAGCTTGGGGAGAAAACAAACTCAACAGAGTAACAGTTTTTTTTAGATCCCTCAAAGAGAGGATGATCCCACCTGCCAATATGATTCAGGACGAAAGTGGGGGCAAAGAGGACGAACAGGACCCGAATGAGACACCCAAATCCCCGACAGCGAACGCCAGCCAGCAGGAAACCAAGGTAGGACTGTCTTGTTATTATTTATTATGTACGATCACCCCAGATAGACTGATAATCTGTTGGATCGCGCTGTCCGTTAGCCCAACGCTTTAAATAAACAGAGCACGGTAAACAAACTTCTTTTACCACGACAATAAAGTCGAGTCAACAGAGATCAGCTCCCAAAAAAGAACAACATGCATTTAAACTGTTAGTTTTTTATCACTGGCTCACACACCGATAAGTCTTTTAAAACAGCTTCAACAGCCTAATTATATTTAAGGAGGATACAATACCCTTAAGTTACAGGGATATACTTCAAAAACATCATGAGGTTGTACAAAAAGGATGGCAAACACGAACATAACACGTTTAAAGTGCCAAAAAAGAGTCACTGCAGACTAGTTTTTAGTTCAGCAGACCACCCCAGTGTGTTGGAATACCATTAGAATAACATCATAATGGTATGCCATAAAAGAAAACAGCCTTAAAATAAAGATGTAACTCGCTACTGAGCAACACACTCAGACTTTGTAGGTCCTTATATGACTTTACATGAAATATAGTGTTTAGTATACAACCTGTTTAAGTTGAACTAATAGGAGCTGTGGTATTTAAATGCATTGTTTCTAGATCTGGATTAGCCTAGAAACAGTTTCATGGATTGCTGTAATGGTATAGAAAGTGATATAGTGTTATCATCATGTTAATGAATAAGCGGCATATGGATTTGTACTTTCTACTTGTGGCTGATGTAGGAAAGTAGGCTGTGTGATAGAGGTCCACAGCTGCCTCAGGCGTTTTGCCATCTATTTGGGTCACATGTTGCCCAGACTACTACAATTAGCAGTGAAATATTGGACATAGTCATCATGACAGTGGATGGCTGCAGCAGCTCTCCTGTCCTGTCAGCGAAGTTCCTACAGGACACATGTTACTCATACTTTCTCTTATTTTATTTATTCTTTAAAAGACAATTTGTGCATTTGTACTTAACCGGTACTTGGTCAGTTTTCTTTGTCTCAGCTGGGATGACAGAGACGATCTCTTCTGTTGCATTGTGTTTTTTAAGGCTCAAGCATGTGAGCTCTTGGCACGTTTGGTCACTGGGTATTTCAAGAGACACCCTGGCTGACTTCTCACATCATTTTCAAGCTTCTGCCAAACAACCACACTCATTTCCAATATCTCAGGTGATTAGTCGCAGAGCAACTCAGAAAGACAAAAAAGTGTTTCAAGAAAGTGTTTAATCATTCGCACAGACAAGATACATAGAGTAAGCTCCTCAATAGGCTGAACAAGTTTACTACCAATAAGTAAAGCTGTGTTTGTGTTTTTATTCCTCCTTTAAGAATACTGTGAGGCCTGAACATCAGAAGCACAAGGTGAGCCTCCACTCTTGTGCAAACTGTGGCGTACCGCTGATTATAGTCCATCATAACATAACAGCATACCTGCATGTACATGAAGATAAAAGTGGTTTCATGTTACAACTTTTGTTGCTTTTTTAAGATCCTCACTGCCACACAAGGTTTAATCCATCATCACCCATATTTCTAGAGGGCATTCTTTGTTTTCCAGTAAATGCATTTATTTACAATGATTGGATCTATAATCTTATGCGACATCTAGCTTTTGTTTTTTGCAGTTTGTTTTGCAGTCCAGATCCATTTAACTCTACCCTGCTTTATGACAGAACACAGCTCTTATAGATTGACACCACCAAACACAGCATGAGCTTCTCGATGCATGCATCCATTCCCCCACTTTGATGATTTAGAGAGATCTGTATTTAATAGGATTGTTTTTCATTTTATATAATGTAAAACTACCTTACAAGTGTAGTATCATTTACCATCGCAGCCTTTGTAAATAAGTACAACGCCTGCAGAATTCACTGTCAAACCGTACTGCGTTAACATTACTATGTTTTGCCACCGCTTTTCTTTTCAGGGAGTGTAAAAGCCACGCCAGTGGAGAACTATTAGAGGTCCCAGTAGCATATATGGGCGCTGGATGCTCATGTCTCATGTTTGAGTGTGCGTGCATTCCTGTGTGTGGGTGGTAATGGCAGAGAAAGGGTCCAAATTGATTGATTCCAGAGTGAGCCATAGAATTGATCGATCTTTCTTAACAATGTACAGGCGTGTTAGCCAAAAATATCAACACTTAACAATATGTACATATGTTTTTTTCACCTTATTGTATGGTAGAGTGGGATATCATGAGAATATCTCATGAATCAGTTGATTGTGTCTGTGTGTGCAAGGTTAATACTTTGTAACAAACTTAGAAGTCGACCTTGAGTACCAAGCTGGAAAAACAGTAACTAACTTACAGGTGTTTACCTGTTTACCGTTATGCATTAAGGCCTGTACTATGTGCTAGAATATAATGGACCATTAGGAGTCCTTCCCTACCCATCAATTACTTAAAACATAATCTATTTCTTCAATCAGAGACCTGCAGGCACACACCAGCCAGAAAACAGAGCCATAAAATCACATTACAGTAGCTCAGGGATTCTTCATTGTGTGTTTTAGCCCAGAATTAGGTGGGTTTCACAGAGGAGGAAGTACACAACGAGATTAAATGAGGAGTTGTCAGTGTGGAGAATTATGAATAGCGTTACTTTAAAAGAAGAGGCTAATGAGATTGATAGAGGTTGCGGCCAGAAACGGCAGCCCAGCATGTGAGAAATAGTGTCGATGTGATGCATTGCCCTAACCAAGAAATTACATTACTTTCCAGGTAGGGAACCTCGCAGGTTCTCCACTGACCAGTGATAAGTTACTCATAGCAGGAGTCTTTCTACCGGCCATGGGACGCTGAGACATTTGCCTGAAGGTTTTAGAGACTAAGCATGTAATTTGTTTAGTTTATTACAGTAAATGATTTGCTTCACATGTCCCTCAGGTCGTCTGAATTTTTCTCTGTTTCATTCTCTCTCCTCTTTTATTCTCTTGTGCAACCCCTGTCTTTTTATCTTCCTCACTCCAATTTTCCTTTAACACTTTTTTCTCTCTTTTCAGCTGCAGAGACTCAAGCGCTCCTTGTCCTTCAAGACCAAGAGCGTCCGCAGCAAGAGTGCGGACAACTTCTTCAGGACCAGCAGCGACAACAAGACAGAGCTGCTCTCTGACGTGAGCAGCAGCACGGGCCATCTCTGCAACATCGGGATGGCCCCGCCGCACACCACCAACCACCCCATCCCTCCGGTCCCTCCAGCCATCCCCAGCGCTCCTCCTCCCACGTCGCGCTCCCAGTCACGCAACCCGCTGCAGGTGGACTCGGCAGGACACTGCTTCATGGAGCACATCTTCAAGAAGCCGACATTCTGTGACGTCTGCAACCACATGATCGTAGGTATGGTTACAATCCCTCCCTCCTTCAGAATATCAAATAAAGCACAGTGACAAGATCATAAGAGAAAGCAAGGTAAAAAATCCTGCACATCATCTCATGAACTTTGCAATCACAGCATTGGTAATAATCTTTACATAATGAGACCTTTTCAAAATGCGACAGAGAAGTTTATATAGCTCAAAGTTTTCTGTCATCAGAATTAAAATTAGAGAGTAATAAATATGTAATAATATACACATATGGAATGGAGACAGCAGGGTATAAGAGTTTATAGTCTCCTAAAGCATACTTTTGTTTACAAATGCTAAATAACATGGGTTTATGCAGTGTGAAGGAAAACACTTTGAGCATCCAACTTGACCTGCTGACCTGTGAAGTATCTGCGTCCTCCTTTTTTAAAAACACTTACCTGAGTCACTCTATTTGTCTGTTGGGGTGTCCAATAGCTCCTCTACCTGTTCTCCCCTCACCAGATGTTCCAGTTTCTCTGGCTGCTCCCCTCCTTGTTATCCATCAGTCCTGAGGGGCCACTAAGTCTTTATATCTCAGGGTCTCTGCAGCATAATGATGACAAGGGCTGCCCCTGCCATCTGCTCAACAAGCTTCTGATATCAGACTGGTGATAATGTTGGCGGGTTCAAATAATAATAATAATAATAATCTTTATTTGTAGAGCACTTTTCCAAAACAAGTTACAAAATGCTTGTGTTCAAAGACTTGCACATTAATGTGCACATGTACCAATACCGGATCAGTTTGCCAATAGTCTTTGTTTTTCTTTGCATGACTGAAATAAATTAGTTTTGTCCTTTGTTCAATCACAAATCAGAGCTATGGATTTCCCTATTTTCAGCTAAGAAAAGCAAAATCAAAGGGCCCTTTAAGTTAAAGTTGAAATAAACATGGCTTTCGACATAGTCAAGTTATTATTAGTTTTAAACACGTAATTTTGATTTTGAGCATTGTAGGTTATTTATCTAATCAGGCTATAGTGAGATAAACCCACAGAGAATTTTCACCCCCTCTGCAGTTCCTCTCGGCTCTATGGGGTTTTATCTCATTGTTTTGGTTTTACGGCCCGCAACTATTGTGTTCCACTCTCATGGCTCTCATCAGTGTTGTTTCCAGCCACAGCAGCAGCCGTCTTCAGCCAAAAAGCTTTACCTGCCCAGCACTAAACAGCAGACAGACAAACTTAGCGACCAGCCAGTGAACATAGTGGAGAATTTTGCTGCTAAGGTGACAGAAATTTCCCTCAGGGGGTGATGGAGGGCAGAGCAGAGCTTAAAGGAGAGTGAATATTAGATGGTCACAACTCTAAATGATTAATTATGTTACTCCGCATCTGCTGGACGTGTAAATAAGCAACTGTGTGCTAACAAATTCGCCAACTTAAAAGGTGATGATATGTCAATATCATGTTTACAGCTGGTCCAAGTGGCCAAAAAATCCGTTAATGCAGGTTTTGCATTGTTGGTTAAATCTGTACAATTACAAGTTTATGGTGCTCTTGAGCAGCCAAACAAACATGTCATGACTGGCATGTTTAAATATATTTGCTATCAGCAGGTCGTCCATACTGGCTTTGAATGTAAGACTACTTAACTAAAACTTAAGTCCATTCCACCATAAAACATATTTATACATGTTGTTTACATTGGTCTGTTTTATGTGGCCAGTGAGGCACATCCAGTGGCCGAAGCTTTGAATGGGCCTCTGGTGGTCTGTTGATAATGAAAGTGTGATGTCAGGCCTGCCTGGCCCTGTGATAGGTGCTGAGCCCTCTGGTCCACTTGTGAAAAACAATGCTGCCCTCTTCATCATTTGTTCTGTTGTAATGAGAACACAAAGTGGAGGGTGGTTCTCTGTGTGAATGTGTGTGCGTGTGTGTGTGTGTGTACACATAATAAGATGGTGCTGTCTAGAGAGAGAGAGAGACGCAGTGGTGGTGGAGGGGACTCTAGCATACTGTGATTATTAAACCTTAATGGCTGCTCAGTAGAAACTTCTGCAAGTATATGGAGTAAAAATAGTGAAATAATGATTTACAGATGTTTAAGCTTGATTAATTCAGTCTAGTTCTGTAAATACAACCCCAAACAGACACACAAATCTTCTTTGCATTTTTCCTCAGGAAGCAGATTTAGGTTTTGCAACTTTATGAATCCATTAGTGTTCTGATTTGTAAAAATCAAGAAAAAGCTTCCATATAACCAGATGTGATGGAAACATACTACTTAAAACTAATCCACATTACATTTATCCGATGCTTTTATCCAAAGTGACTTACAATTGATATACTTGTCAGAGGTCGCATGCTACTGGAGCAACAAGGGGTTAAGTGTATTGCTCAGGGACACATTGGTGGATGAGTTACAGTGGGGGATTGAACCTGGGTCTCTCACACCAAAGGTATAGTCTTATCCATTGTGCCATTGGCACCCCCATATGTTTATGATCCACCCTACCCTACACTAATATATACATTAATACCAATGTGCTAATATTGCAAACGGCCGCCTAGGAAATATTAAACACCCACTTTCTTCCTAAAGGAGGCTCCTTTATTATTAGAAAGCCTGTACAAAGGAGATGTGTCATCCATAATAAAAAAAGGCTGAATTATATTAAAGTGCTCACTGACTCATTCATCAATTTACTAGATGAAGGAAGAGCAAACTAGATTAGTAAATATTTAATAAAGCAATAAACATATTACCATTTTTCTGTAGGCGTTAATTTGTGTTTTAAAACCCCTCTATATAAGAGAATAACTGTGTTCAGTTGACCGATCATAATTCAGCAGTAAAAGGACAGTAAAAACAAGTGCCAATATATAAGCTACAACACAACTACAAAGATCACATCGACACTGATAATCAGATCCCAACTTATAGTGTTTTGATAGTGTTATATCAGTTTTATTAAGCTCAACACGTACTCTCTTTCCTGTTCAGTTTGTCTGTGCAGTTAATCGTTGAACAGACACATTCATTTTTAAACTACATACATCAAATGTATTCACAAAAGAACCACCAAGAACTGCATAGAGATTTAATTAACATTGTGTTGCTAAGACTGTGTGTCTTTTGATTACAATGTGTTTCACTTGTGCTGATCATGGCACTTTGTCTGACTAGTAATCTGATTATGACTAGTAGAAAACACTGTCACACAGGAAGAACCGTACTTTTCTATAACATTGATCAAATAGTCAACACTTCACCTGTAAAATTCTAAGTCTTCCAGGCTGTCAGAAAAAAGGTAAAGCCACTACACTCCCACAGGTGTTTTCACTTATGTTGCCCGATTACACCTTTTCCCAGGTCTGTGTGGGCGTGTACAGATTGTGTTTGATTGACATTTGCCTCACTCTCCTGTTAGTTATGTTGCAACTTTTGGGGCGGGACATCTGCTGTTTTCAGTGTTATTACTTCATAGAGTGAAGTGTGCCTCTACCCATCTTCAACCTGAGCAGAAGTCTAATCAGCCAGAGGAAGTGAAAACACCTGTCTGGGTGTGCAGCGCCTTTAAGAAGAAAAAAGTTAACAAGTTAAGAGTGTATTTTCCTATATTTATTCCAAGGTTACTCTCACTCCTACTGCGTTCCACCAATGTTTTTTTCGTATTCACCACACACAGCCTAAATGCTATGTGCAGCTTTTGTCCATAAAAGTAAGTGTCATTGCTGTGAGTCTCTCAGTGAATCTGTTTCACTGGTACATAAAACTAATCTACTGATCGAGTACGATGAAGATGCTGAGATATTGATTGCAGGTCCTTGCTGCAAATGGCTTATTAAATAAACGTCTACATGAGTAAATGGGAGGGTTATTTGTGGCTGACAGAGGGTGAAATATAATTTACAGGGCAGGCTTGAAAAAATTAAACATTCACAGCTTTGGTTAGGTTCAGGTTGTGAACTTATGTAGCAAATTCCACAATTTTCTAGGACATAGTTTATAAAGGACATATGCAAATGGAAAATGTAGAGATTTAAGCTACTAAAGCTATTACAAAATATCACTGTCAGTCAGTAATCACTGATATCGTGCTTTAACTTTTAGGGGTTAGACAGTAATTTACTTAGAAGATCCGTTAAACGCCTTCAAATCAAGGCATCCAAATGAATTACTAAGACAAGTTGATATTCACAACGAATGACACTGTAATCTCATTTGATTAACATGCATTAATCTGTGCTATGAAATCCCTGATGACCCCAGAGAGAAATAAATCTAGGGGTCAAGGTTAAGGTTATTTAGTAGACAGATCCTGCTGTGGTGGTAACAGAGGCTTTACTACTCCTACCCCTCCATTAACACATACACTTGATGCAGTGCCATACACACACTCTTACTGTGTATACTAGCTGGTGTCCGTAGTGTCTCTTTCTGTCACACAAGATACAACAGCTGAGTGTTGGGACGACCTTGCAAACATGGTAAACTTCATACCTGCAAATCATCAGCATGTTGCCATGGTGAAAATGTTAGCATGCTGATGTTAACATTGAGCCTCTTAGAGACTCTAGCATAGCTGTAGACCCTTAGTCTTGTTCAGATATGTCCTTTAAGGACACACAGTACAATTGAACAGATTACATAGAAATTGGGGGAAGATGAACAAACATCTCTGCAGGCTGCATGACACTCCTCACTCCAAATGAACAGTTTATGTTACATCTGTACCCTATACAGTTCACTTCAGATATGACAAACAGCTATACTCGATCTATAGCAATGTATTAAGCATTATAGGCCGTTATTTCCTTAATTCTTCAGAAGGGGAAAGAAAATCAAATGGTCGTGGGAGAAACTAATTAAAGTCTGCAAATAAACCAAAGAATGCTACTCAGGTCAGTGTTTTGGAGGAGCTTAGGAAGAAGAGGGGGGTGGAGGAGTTATTGTCACAAAGGTTATTTGCACAGGAAATCAGGAGGCGTGAAGTAAGGCTTAATGGATCAATGTGTGGCAATTGTAAGCAGAGTGTGCAGCGTGAGAAAAATAGGGAAGGGGGGGGAAGAGAGGGGAATTGAGGGAGAAAGACTGTGTGGGAAAAAATAAGAGGCGAGATGAAGAAGGTATGGAAAATCTGGCAGGAGTCTTGTCCTTTACTGTAGTGTAAATGGGCTTTAAAAGCAGAGTAGCCAAGAAAGAGCAAATGCCAGAGAGAGCAGCACTGTCACTCACTTTCCCCACAGCTGTAATGCCTTTAGGCTGTGGACTCTCCTCCGAACCTGGAGGAAAAAGCACCTAAACACACACACACACACACACACACACTCTAACGTCATTATCCAGCCATTACTGAAGGAAAACAGCAGTGTCAGTTTATTGTATCAGCCTGCTGAAACGCAGTGTTTTTTTCCCTTCTTAGCTGTTATGAGTTAACATGGAGGTGTCTCATTATTCCCCTATGTTGGAATGAGTCCGTCCAAACAAGCCAATCAGCAACAGCTTCACAAGGGCTTCATTTGCTTCCTGCCCTTGTGCATTCAGAGAGACTTACAAGAACTTTTCATAAAGATACCTTAAAGAAAATTGTTAGTTGACCTGAAGCACAATGAAACTCCAAGTGCTTGGTCCTGGTTGTGCTCATGCTGCTGCTACTGTTGTTGTGGTGATCATCTGTGGCTAACCATTGAGGATTCAGGCCGGGGTTCACATTTCTCTCGGTTTCCGTCTCAGGTTAACTAAGTCCGCCAGCTCTGTGTCAGTGAGACACAGTCAAGCAACAAGAACATTAAATGGGGAATACAGATTCAAGTTTCCACCCATTACGAGTTTCAAGTGGCCATCACTGCTGCCCAGCTCCAGATAGCCGTGACACCAGGTCACATTACAGCACATGAAGAGCAAGCAGAGATTCCCCCCTCCCGCATTGGCAAAGTAAACTACACATGAGGGGCTTTGTACCTTGACAGGGCTATATGTAGTAGTATATGTATTTTTTTAATGAAATGAATAAATTTTTTATTAATTTATTATCTGTGAACAGGTTGTAGCCTTAACCATAAAATTAACCATTCACAAGCTTTCTCGGCCACTTGTAACCTTCCTATGTGAAGAAAGCAGGTCGGATTTTGCACAAAATCCACTGGTTTACGTACGCTGTGACGTTCATGCGCGCTTCTGATTCTGAACTCTGAAAGCTGTTAACGAAATGAAGTCCGCTAACACCAAACACAGACATATCCACTTAAGGACAAAAACAAACAACAGAAATCTTTTATATGTCTGTCAGGCCAAATGAGAATCAGATTGATGTCGGGCTAAAACACGTTTAACATCAGAAAGGCGTTGTTTTGAATATAAAAATGGACCCAGAGTTGGCTTTCATTCTATTGGACTAACATTTCAGAAAATCATGTGAAATATATTGTGATTTTGTGTTTAACGCTAACGGTTATTACGGTTATAACGGTTACCCGGTTGCTAACGTTATCTGTTGCAAAATACTATAGTTGTAACGTTACGGCTAGTCACATTTCATCACCAGCTCGCAGGATCCATATTACTATCCTGGATCTGGCCTTGTTTGCTTCATAACGTTCAATTTAGATTTATTGTCATTTTACAATACTTGGGTACACAGCTTCTTCACTGGTGTAAGTGGCCATAACTTACGTGACCCACATAATATACAATAATGCAACATAACAGTGCAGGACAACACCACAGTGGAAGACCCATTCAGTACATTTGTGTATACTAAAGTGCATGGATTAGTTTAATGCCAAGCTGTTAAAAATATCACAGTAACATGGCAGCGGGAGTTTCCAGCATGTTGTGTGACGCCGTCTCATGCTTGTCGGTCTCTGTTTTGGCTCACTCATTAGTTCGAGCACACACATGAGCATACGCTTGGAAAAATAGGGGTTGCAATGTGAAACCTTGCCTCTAGAGGCCACTGAAAACTATACACGGCCCCTTTAAGTACACAGTATCTTGTTTTTGATATATTTTCTGGGGATCAGGTGTTCGGCTTGATTTCACAATTACAGAGTCACTATTTTTCAGCATAATGTGGACTGAAACGCTGACGTTATTTGCTTGCCACAGTGCCCATTCACAATGCACAACTTGACAACCATGAACAAACTTAACAATCTTTCAGTGATTGGTCAGATCATCTGATATTCTCCCTGCGCTGTTAAAGGCCACCGAAGCAGATTGACTGCATGTGTTCATATTTTCACATGCACACACACAGTGTGTGGGCCAGAGCAGGGCACGTGCTCATTGATTAATCAATACAGAGCCATAAGTTCACAGCTGCCAGACTACAACTAATAACAGCACTGGGTCTTGGGCCTTGTTAATGTGGAATAGCTGTCACATGATATATCACTGCTGGTTTTAGTAATGTTATTTATAACACAGAGATGATTTGTCTTCTCAGGAATCCCTCTCCTTTTATCTTTTGTGAGGGTTATACCTACATTATTATTATTATCATTTAACAGAATCTCCACTTACAACCAAAACATTTTCATATACTTGGTCTTATACCACACACATTCACAGTCCAGGAAGTGCTGGCTCTTAGCATAACTACTAAGTCAAAGTTTAGCTCAGTCAGCCAAACGTATTATTATTTGATTTCTTAGTCTCAAACCCTACAGGTATATGGATGCTGGGGCATATGAGATCTTATATAAACTTCTTTTCTTTTTTTTTTACAGCCAACACCAATTTTCAGGATTTTTTTCTGCCTTGAGGAGGAATGCAGTCTTGACAGTAATATCAGGATCTTTTAAATCTTAAAAAAGTTAAGGAACCTGAACTTTACATGAATTGGTGAGCTAGAGTAATAACCTGTTTAATCTAGTGACTACCTTTCTGATTATCAAATACAAATTAACGTAAAATAGCCATTGAAAGTTGGATTTCCCCTCGAACAACATTACACTCCCCTTTCACTCCCCAAACTGTCATGCCTATTCATTACTTGCCCTTTTTTTGTGTTTCTTTCTATCTTTCAAACACACACAGTGACAAAGCCGGCTCACTGATCTTCATTGAAGACAGAGCTGCAATCTGTTGTTGTTGCAATGTGAGCTTTATTCTCTGCCAACACCTTTCTTTTTACAACCTGACATCTCCACCCTAAACAACACTTCCTTTTTGCTTTTTGTTTCCTCATCTACCTCTCTGTCCATATTCATTTGTTACTCTTTCACAAAAATTTGCACAAATGCGTACAGGTATGAATGTTTGCATTTGCGATGTTGCATAACTTTGGTTCACAAATAAATCTGATTAAACTTAAATTATTCTAGCAACTGTGAGTCACATTTTAAGAAGTGAGGTAGCGCTGCACACAGGCTGCAGTTTAAAGGGTTTCACATGGTGGAGATAGCACTGGCTCAGTTGCAGTCAGTTTGGTTAAAATGGTTTTGCAGAAGTGCACATCATGTGTCGCATTTGCTAAACTTGTCCCTGTTAAAATGTTCCACATGTTACTTCACAGGTTTTTCACAGTGCTTGCTGGAAACGACTCCAGGAACTCTGGCTAGGAATACGTGTGTAAAGACATTGAATAAATGAATGAGAAGGCGCTCGGAAAAGTATTTTCCATTTCTTTTGCCCTTTTGTGTGTAATTTGCTGTTCACTTAGGATCACTATTTGAGTCAGATCTGAACCTTCTTTCTCTGTCTCTGTACAGGTACAACAGCTAAGCATGTGGTGTTCCTGGCGGGAAACACTGCAAAACACGGCCTCCGCTGCAAAGCCTGCAAGATGAGCCTGCACCACAAATGTGAGAATGGAGTGGGACAGCAGCGCTGCATGGGCAAACTGGTAAGACGCATTACACAAACAGATAGCACAACACATCAAGACATGATATACGCAGTACATTTGTGTCTTCGCTGCCTGCAGTCAGGAAGATTCTGAGCTTCAGGAATATAAGTACTGTTGCCATTACGATAGCAACCAAAACAGATATATTAGAATTGGCTGTGTGACCGTTTCCCACCAGAATGTGCTTATTCAGAAATCACACTCTTATGTGTGAGTGTGCTGGTACATCTGTGACCACCATTCATCCTCGTCATCATCCTCAGCATCGTTATATCATCACTCTGTCTGTCTGTCTGTCTGTATGTCTGTCTGTGTGTGTGTTAGATAATAGTAATGCAAAAATGGTGACCTCTCCTCATCTCTGTCAAGTTCTGTTGTGCTGCAGTCAGCGTAAACCATCAAATCAGGATCAATACCCAGAAGCAGCTTCATAGCCACAAGTGAAGATGTGACACGTAACAGTTTTATGATGTATTTGACATTTCGCAGTCTCAGCCCTTATTTCCCTTTTTTAATATATGAGTCAAGCCTTGGTCGCTTGTGAAATTAGGGGGTGTAAAATAATATTTGGAATAATTATCACATCATTAATTATTCAATTTCAGCTTTTATACCACAAGCAGAGGCAATGAGATTGTGAAGACTTTTCAATATCACAAAAATGGGAAAGTTGTGATCGGTGATAATCATAATGACAAAATAATACTCTGATTCCAATATGCTGCTTTCGCTAGCAGCATGTTGCTGCTTTTATTTATCTCAAGTTTCTGTGGTTTAAGACAAGCAGAACCCATAAAGGTTAAGCAAATTCTTCAACCTTTTATGTTTATTAACCCTTTCCAAAACCTCTCTGGAAATCTTTGGTCACCCTTAAAATACATTTTTTTTTAGCTTGTGATATATACTATATATAAAAAGAAATATACTGATCATAGACTGTAGATAAAAAGATACTGATACAACATTTATATGACATCATTGACTTTTGTATAAAATTATCTAAAGAAATGCATCTGTGAAGTTTTGTTCAACAACAAATCCATAAGATGCTTTAATTATAGCAATTTACTCCCCTGTGTTGTTTCATATAAGCTATTTCTCTGCTAATGAGCTCTAAATGTCCATCCAAATGTGCTTACGTGTCGACATAAAAAACTAGAGCAAAACCGCCTTATTGAGTAGGGGAATTTATTTAATGGTTGGTACAGTCAGTAAGTCAGTGTTATTACCTCACATGTCAGAGGTAATGACCCTGTACTGTCATAAACCCCCCATTTTAAAAATCATATCATCATATCGTAAGTGGTGAGTGGTGATGGCGCAATGGGTAAGATGCCTGCCTTTGGTGTGAGAGACCCGGGTTCCCTGTGACCCATCCACCATTGTGTCCCTGAGCAAGACACTTAACCCCTAGTTGCTTCAGAGGCATGCAACCTCTGACATGTATAGCAATTGTAAGTCGCTTTGGATAAAAGCGTCAGCTAAATGAATAAATGTAATGTAAATGTAACTGTATATTGTCTGGTTTGTCCTCATTATGGGGTGATGATGAAAATTTAGATCAGGGGCTATAATGTGATTCACAATCATCATCGACCCTCATCATCTGCGGACCAGCATTATAACGAGACCATTTGGCTGTGGATCTTTGGTGGGCTGAGTGTTTTTACTGGGGAGGGTTCAGTTACACCAGTTAAAGCCAGCGCCAAGAAACGTCAGGACTGAACTGGGACTCTGTAGTCATTCGCACACATCCCACACTGAAGAGGGAGAGAGAGACTGTAGCTCTGTCAGGTCTTATTATGTGTGATTTTCTACCTTACCTACCTTGTTCCTCCTCAGTATTTGACTACACCTCCATTCATTTGGCTGGGATTACTTGAGGAAATTTGGAATAAGTTGAGTTGGTGTTAATCATCATGAATAAAGTGAGTAGATGTCATATGGAAGTTATTTGGAAGTAATACTGACAGTACAGGCAGCCTTTCCCAGGTTGTGATGACTTTCCGCTAGAGGCCTGAGGGATGAGGCTTGAAGATATGATCGGCTCTCAGGAGTGGAAAATGAGGTTGAGAGATCAAGCATACAAAGGGAAGTTTCCCCAGCAGAGTAAAGCTCTAAATTCGACTTACTCTAAACTTGGACACTTGGATGCAGCCATGCTTGTTTCTCTTGGCTTGAGAACCCTTTACCAAAAAAGAAAATCTTATCTTTATAAATCATAAAACCAGCGTATCAACATTAGGTTTCCAAACTTGCTGAAACAGTGACAATGACTTCATAACAAATGTATATTTAAAAAATGAATGGCATTTCACACTCGGCTATTCGGTTACATAACATTACTTCACTTAGATAGCAAAGCTACTCTCCAAGAAGAAACTTAAAACCATTATTAATAGCTTTGGCAACAATCTAATAATACTGTTTAAATGTTTTTCAGAGACTCTGCAAAGGAACATGGTTTTCAGTGAAATGTAGTCACTTACTTAGAGTCAAGCACACAATGTTTTTATTTTTGTGTGGTTGTATAGACAGTTTGCAGATACAGTATGTTGGTCACTTAGCTAACAAAGGCTGGTAGAAAAGAGTTGGTTTGACCTCTCCTGACACAGTTTTTGTTAAGATTCAGTCTCGACAGCTGCAGTCCAAATGAGTGTTTCTGGCTGACCTACCAATTTGTATTAAACATGATTAATAATCGATATGTGTCAGTTGATGTGTGAGTCACTGCTTGAAACTCAGTCGTCACAGTCGGTAATCAGTGGGAGCTGAGCCCTACTACAGTGCACATGCTACATCTTGCACTAGATCTGCTGCATGACACAATTTAAAAAGTGGTTTCACTGATTCAGAACGTTACTTGTGAGAAATGAAATGATTTACTTATCAGTTTCTCATGAAGAATGTTTATCACGTACACACAAACAATAGCAGGTGTCCGGCATAACATTTACAAACTATTTCCTTGCTGCCCAGCGTGCACAACACACTTGCAAGAATGCAGCCTTGAGCAATGTAGTTTCTGAAGTCAGATAGGACACTGCAGCGTGTGATGCCAGCACATGTTAAAAAAAACAAAAGTTGATTCAGTAACTGATGGAGACAACATCGCTAAAAACATTTACCATATCCTCCCCCGATATTTAAAAGCTTTACGTACATTTATCAGTGTCTGTAAGATCAAAAACCTGTACTTCTCTAGATTGTCAATGGGGAAATAAAGTATATGCTGTTATGTACAGTATTAAAAGTTACTAATTTCCCAGATTACAAAGAACATATATGGCCATAAACCATGGCAGATGGATAGGACTGTATAAATAAATGAACATCCTCAACTCCTTTATGTGTCAAAAATCATGAAGAGGACAGCTCTCTAATTAAATTATTTATTCATGCACAGATGCACAGGCAGACACCCTTCCTTAGTGTGGGGTTTGTTATACAGCTATTAACTAAGCTATAAACTACCTATAAATCTATGACACAGTATTTTTTATATATATTACTTTTGAATTAAAGACACATAATAAATGCTTCCATTACTGTTTCCCAGATATCCCCAAAACCTAACTGCATGACTGTAGTAAGTTAAGTCACTTACAGCCACAGTGAAGGGTGTCTTTTGTTTATAGCCAAATGGACTAGATGGGCTCCCAACAAGTGTGCTTTCTTAACCTTTTCCTTAATGAGTTTGCCCCCCCCCTGACAGTCTGACATCTCAGTTCTTGTGACGGGCCCAAAGAGCTCAAGGGTTGCTTATTTTAGCCGTTGCATCATGAGAAGTGTCAAATGAAGAATTAATCGGGGCTGATGCAGATTTCACCACCTGGCACTTGAATACATGTAATATAAACAGACAGAAAAAAAGGGAGCCCTGTGAGCTGTAGGTCTGATCTACACATCCAGTAAAAAATTGAGGTTATTGTAATCAAGGAAAATTAATCTTGTCAAAAAACACTCTATCTTATCAGTAAATGGGCAAATGTGTAGCCAGGATGTCTTCCAGAAATCAAAAACAGAAAGAAAATGCTATAAAAGAGAAAATATGTACATTAATCATTACCCCGTGTGCAGTAGGATACATAAAGTCTGCATGGATTGAGAAGAATTTCAATCTTCTGTCTGCTTTACTTAAGAAGGATTTAAAACTGATGTGGAAGTATTGATTGGTTTGGACTGAGGTGTATAATGGATATATAAATTATAAATGTTTGAGTGCCTTAGGAGATGGGAGGAGGATATGACAGGGAGATAAATTAAGACCATGATGTTAGACCGCTTTTTCTTGTCAGGTGCATGGCAGTGGACCACACTAACCACATTTTCTACTCCTGCATGTTGGGATTTCAACTCTATATGTAACAAATCATTTATTTATTTATGACAGTCATGCACAATTTAAGACTGTAGTCACTGATATATTTTGATTCAAGTAATAATGTGCTGAAAGTAATTTAAATTGAGTGGAACTAATGTTGCGCCTCAGCCACAGGGGAGTGCAACATTGAGTGTGGACTGCATCTGACGTCATTTTGTAAACCGCCATGGCCCCTTCAGCTTCTGTACTCTCAAACTTGTCTACTAGTTTTGCCATTGTTTTTCACGTTGTCACCTTGTGGGGGGCTGTAAGTTTCATTACATTGCCTGATGCATGTTGTAAGCATGTTCATCTCTTCTGCGCTAAATCAAATCACTTTGTTCATTGCAGGAAAATGTAGGTGGATTAGTACTTCAGTTGATTTGTAGTTTTAGTCTGTTTTCCTGTGACTTCATCCTTTCTTATGTAGTTCTGCAGCGTGAAATATAGCTGTTGTGATTCATTTAAACATTGATGTCTGACATCCCATCTGCAAAGTCAGTTGCTCTCCGACTGAATAGAGTTATGTGCAGCATTTCAGTGTCATGGTGCTGCCTGTGGTGCTGCATATTGATTTGTCTCTAATGTCTGTCGCCTCTCTCTTTTTTCCCTCTTAGCCAAAAGGCTTTCGCCGGTACTACAGCTCTCCATTACTGATCCAGGAACAGTATGGCTGCATCAAAGAAGTCATGCCCATCGGTGAGCAGCTTAAATCTCCATAATAACTTCAGTTCTGTATGGGATGACATGCTCTAAATCGAAAACTTTACTCCACTATTCAAGCACCACTTTTCCACCTCTGAAAGATTTACCTACCTGGTTTTATAGTATTATAAATCACCACATGGCTATACTGAAAGCATTTGTTTGTCATCAGCTTTTATCATGTTGGTTCTTTTCTAAAGCCTGTGGCAATAAGGTGGATCCCGTGTATGAGGCCTTGAGGTTTGGGACGTCGCTGGCACAAAAGGCCAAGAGGGCCAGCGGCTCTGAGTCTCCACATGGAAACTCGGTAAGAAAAGGGTCATTTATCATGTCGGGTAGTGTTTGCTTTTACTCTGTTAACACAAAATACCAAACACTGATCAATATTGTACTTACAAAGTTTTATTTGTCCTATTTCACATCTCAAGTCTTCTCTTCGTTAAACTGTAATGTACATGCAGGCACATAAATACTTGAAGATTATCACAGTTCAGGTCAGGTATTATACTTGTAATATTTTGTCCCACTGCAACAGACATACTGTAGCTGATGGTCTAAATAGATACTGACACTGCAGGGCTGTAAACACTACCAATAAAGGCATTCTGGTCCAGGGAGTAATGAGATGTGGGTGCAAACACTCATATTACAGCTCTGAAGATAGACTGATTGTAGAGCTACACTCACCGGCCTCCTTTCCATCTCTGTGTGTCATACACAAGGAAATCTGTCTTTCATAGCTTATCACTTCTAATGTAAGCAAAACTGTATGTGCAGTTTGGATACGTGCCTCTGTATGATGACATCTGAAAGCTGTTGGGCTTGGGCCACCCTGTCCTGTGCAGCTGTGTGTGTGTGTGTGTGTGTGTGTGTGTGTGTGTGTGTGTGTGTGTGTGTGTGAGTGTTGGTGGATGCTTAGACAATGTGATCTCAACAGGAGTTATGATAATAGTTTCCAAATGCAGACTTAGAAACAGCATGTTTGCTATACTACAGTTATAGCTGGTTATTCTTTGTTAGTGCATGAAATACAGCTAGTTTTCTGCTCTATCTATCTATCTATCTATCTATCTATCTATCTATCTATCTATCTATCTATCTGTCTGTCCTATCTAATCTGTGCAGACCAGTGACTTGGATAAGGTTCCAGAGGAAGTGGTGGCTCACAGCAGCAGGCAGGAGCTGTCGAGAAAACACAGCGATGATGGTGAGTATCCGTTGCGGTACACTGTGTGCATCTGGATCAAAGTCATGTAGTGACACAGGGAAAAACACATACCGCTATTGATCTTCTCACAAGAGAGTCCGAGGAGGTTGTTACATAGAATTCTCCGCCTATGAACTGTCAACTAAGGTTTGTTCTGTTTTCCACTGAACTCTTCTTGCTGAGTTTGCTCACTCTGATCCTGTTGTAGAATATCCTGTAGAAAAAAAGTGTTAAGAAAAATTTGGACCTCTCTTTTTTTAATCTGCATTGTGTGTACTTCTGGGTTTGTAGTGGTGAGTGGGTTTTTCCAGCTGCACAATAGTGTCTGTAGTGAAGGGCAAGGCACTGACCCTTTACAATCTGGAGGATTCACTCCAAGTCACTCTTCAAGGTAATCCATGGAGTTAGAAAATGCTATTTGAAGCATGGCTACAACGCTGCAGAGCTATTTCCTTCAGTGAATAGCACCTCATTCAACAAATGAAGAAATTAATGCGTTCTTAGCCTGTGACATGCGTCGGCCATTAAACTGCTCTAGTTTCTTGATAGTGGTCAGATTAGTGGAAAAAAGACAACTACGGTCGATCGAGTCAAATTTGTGATGAAAATTGTTTATTGAAATTTATTTTCAGTTTTCACAGTCATTGAGAATGGGACGGAGCATTGCCACCAGCCAGGGAGAAAACCTGACGATTTGCAGGTAAGAAAATAATCTACTACTAATATAATTTTTTGTTACTGTAATATGCCTCATGAGCACAGACCGATTACCTAAAAATGCCAAATAATTGGCCCGACCGATTAATCAGTGTATCACTAGACGAGTTTACACTATTGATGCCTGAGCAGTACTGTTCTTCTGACTTAAACCTGTATTTTAGTAAAGCCAACAAATCAGACTGAATTGGATTCTAAAGGAAAAAGAATGATAAAAGTTCTCTTTGGTTCCTTTCTCTGGCAATATTTAAGTATTTTGTATTTGCACAATATTATTTTCATTTTTAAACAGATTTTTTATAAGCCAACAAGTACTGTATTAAGCCACCGTCAACATGCTAGGAGCCATAAAATAACAACCTGGAACTTATATAAGAAGGGGAAAAAAGTAAACTGAATATACTATTTTAGAGGAATGGCAAGCTTAAACTGTCTTTTCAGCAATTTCACAAGTCAGCAACTCTGGTTGTCAACTTTTCTCCTCAGGTTTCACAGTGCTTGTTATTCTGCAGCTCAGAGTCTTACAGTAACGTATATTATTGGTGCAGTCTGAAAACCTCTGAGAACTGACTTTGTTCGCTGACCAATGCTTGAACTATGCTGAGAACTGATACCCAGCCAGTCCGTTCTGTGTCCATTAAGCATGCCACATTTGGCCCCTCGCCTCCATCGTCACTGCTGAATTTCCCAGGACTTTGAGGGAAAAATTCTCTTCCTGCTGTAACAAATCATACAAGAGCTGACACAACCACTGGCCTGAACAGAAAAAGAGAAGTCTTGACCATACAGTAATGTTTGGATCTGCAGCTCTGGGGTCTTTGCTACTGTTTGTATTCTCTACAGTGTAGATACAGTGCTGATGGTGCAGAATTTAGTGGGAAAAAAAGGTTAAATGTCTGTGAATATCTTGCCACCCTCCAGCAGAGTATGGATGAATATATCATGGCCAGATTTTAAAACTTTTCCTTTCTAGTACTTCCATGGTGGGTTTTGTGGGAGAGATGCATTCAGTATCAGTGTGCTTTTTGTACATATTTTCTATGTACAGCCATCTATCCTGTTTACTTTTATAGTTTAACATGTTTAACTCCATTGTCAACAGTGGAAAAAGCCCAGGGATACTTGGACAAACACAAAAATGAACAAATAACCATACAAGGCAAAAAAACATGCACACACACACACACACATATCATCTATAATACAATCTAGCAGTCCAGCCGGTCATTTCGGGGAAGAGACTTGAAGTGCATTGTGTGCTGTTATCAGGCTGGACGCACAGCTGGCAGGGGGCTGTTTGTCTGTCAGCCGACAGGTCCATTAGCTCAGGCTGGTGGACAGACAGATGGAGGCTCTGCGGGGTAATGAGCAGAGAAAAACGCTTGAAAACTGCTTCTTCACCAGAGACAGAGCCTCTAGTTTGAGATGAGAGACTCACACACACAAACGGGAACACACGCAGTCACACACAGGATCACCATCTGTTCACACTTTTCAGGTTTAGTGTTAAACTACCCGAGATCAATTGACAGTAAAATAGTCTGGCTCGAGCTGTGATTTCTTTTTTGGTTGGATCCACTGCTTGATTTTTATTGTAGGTGGCGCTCTTTTTGTTCATTTGAGACAGCTTCTGCTTTTGCCAGAAGTACAAAATGTACTAGTATCAGTATTTTTTAATAAAACAATGGATCAAATGTGTAATTGGAACAAACCAGAACAAAAACAAAACAGAGCTAGATGGAGAGTGAATATCCCTAGGTGGCCAGTAACATGACCCCAAATTAAATATTCCTGTGTGTCTGCTAGATAAGTAAATGGACAAGCGACTGTTCACCATAAGAAGTTTACAAGGTGATAATATGTCAAAGTTGTGTTTACAGGTTGTTTTACTGCCCCCAAGTGACCAAACAAATCAGCTGCTGCAGAGTCTCAGTTACAAAGTAGGCTGTTATCTTGGCCTGCCTGACCTCTCATTCAGTGCTCCAGGGTCCCACAGCTTCAGAACAAGAGTAAGTGAGCAGCTCTTAGTTAGCTGTAATTGCCACTGCTTAACGTTGCTGTTTTTTACCCTGAGGCCACAGAGGCAGTCAACTCATCCATCAACCATGTTGCGAGTCCACATGGGCGATACTCGGAGGAGCCACAAAAGACCAGAATCACTTCTCTTCATTACTATACGGCACTACAAAGATGGCAAATCCTCATGTTGTCTTGCAAAAACAGCCTTTAGTGTGTCTGAAAAAGTCATTCTCATGTCTTTTAGCAAAATCTCCCTCCAGGCGTTATGCTGGAACAGGACAAGTTATCATTTGGAGGGATTTCAGGGACACAACAGGCAAGATTGAGACTCAAGGTACATGTGATGAAACAAGAAAACGCCCGCCTGTTTTCTGAGCAGAATGGCGGCACATTTCCCCCTGCTTCTCCGATAACTTCCTCTCCACCCACAACCTTTTCCTGTTTTAACTTCCTGAGCGTTCAAAACCTGATCCTGCTTCTCCCACTCATGTTGACGGTGGATTAAACGTAACAGATTGCAGAACAAGTTAAGCAGATCCACGGTCTATCAGTATACTGTAAACAAGGGCTTCTACTGTCTATGTGAATGCCAATAGACTATTTTCAGATACGACTGTACAACGAAAAGTGACAATAGACAATATGGTGCTGTCTTGTATTTGTGTGTCTGTGAGCTTTGCTTAACTTTGTCCTTTTTTCTGAGAATTTTGAAAACCAAATCTGTGTGTTTGTTGTCCAGTTGGAGCAGAGCCAGCTACAGAAAGACGTCCTCAAGCTCAACACCTATGTGGCCTTGCACAGCTTCACTGCCCAAGACAGCCATGACCTAGAGATGAGGTTAGTTTACACACGTCGCTCTAATCAAGAAATCCCACTAAAACACTCGCTGTCATTTATCAGTACAGCAGCTGTCCGGGGACTGGTGATGAAATATAGCTGACTGATTGACTCTGACATAAACAAGTATCATCAGGGTGAAATGTGTCAATATCTGTTTTCTAATAAGCTATAAATATACATCTCACAAAAGTGAGTACACCCCTCATTTTTGTAAATATTTTATTATATCTTTTCATGTGACAACACTGAAGAAATGACCCTTTGCTACAATGTAAAGTAGTGAGTGTACTGCTTGTATAACAGTGTAAATTTGCTGTCCCCTCAAAACAATACATCACACAGCCATTAATGTCTAAACCGCTGGCAACAAAAGTGAGTACACCCCAAGTGAAAATGTCTAAATTGGGCATGGAGTTCACCAGAGCTTCACAGGTTTGCAACTGGAATCCTCTTCCACTCCTCCAAGACAACATCACGGAGCTGGCGGATGTTAGAGACCTTGAACTCCTCCACCTTCCGTTTGAGGACGCCCCACAGATACTCAATAGGGTTTAGATCTGGAGACATGCTCGGCCAGTCCATCACCTTTACCCTCAGCTTCTTTAGCAAGGCAGTGGTCATCTTGGAGGTGTGTTTGGGGTCGGTATCATGCTCTGCTTCAGTATGTCACAGTACATGTTTGCATTCATGGTTCCCGGAATGAACTGAAGCTCCCCAGTGCTGGCAGCACTCACGCAGCCCCGGACCATGACACTCCCACCACCATGCTCGACTGTAGGCAAGACACATTTGTCTTTGTACTCCTCACCATTTTTTAAAACAACAGGAAGTACTTTTAGCTTTTCAGACAAAACAATGAAAGAAAGCTATTTGTTAGTGACCAGCTAACATAGTGGAGCGTTTAGCAGCTATAGAGTAATAGACTATATTTCCATCACAAAGAGTTGGTAGAGACCAAAAACTGAGCTAAAAGGGAGTGAATATTAGTATTATAGGACTTACATTCATCAGGTGTCCAGAAACAGACTCAAAATAATACTGGTGTTGCTCTGTAACAGCTGGATGTATAAATAAGCAAACCAGTTTGCCACTTCAACTAAGTTTATGTCATTGTTGTTTCCGCTGCCCCCAAGTGGCAAAAGGAAATTGCAGGTTTAAAGTAAACTGCATGTCTAGCCTGTCTTATTATCTCCAATACAGTCTGAAACTCAGGCTGCAGGTTTTATCCCATGTCTTAATCATGATTGATAGGGCATCATCTGCTACATACTTTGAAATAGGCCCTCAGGAAAGAGAGCATTCATCACAAGCAGTCCTTCAGCCTAAGTACCCATTTGCTCCTGGTTCTCACAGAAATCCTCCAAGGATATGAGAGTGCACTTGTTCTCTCCCTCCTTCTCCTGCACACACACACAGACAAACTCATGGGTCCTTCCTCTCTCTTTGGTCGAGAAAAACTTCAATCGACAGGCTTAATTTAAAATTCATTGACTTCTTCTATACGACTCCCTGTCCACCAAGTTCACCAAGCTTTGTTTCAAATTTCTTCTCTTATGGAACCCTAAATCAATGTTTTTCGCCTCTGGGTTTCTCTGCACACAGTAATCAGTACATCAAAACGCTACCACATAAAGCACAAATGGGGGGAAAATGGAATTTTTTATCAAAAGGTTCAATTTCCATTTTCATTTCAAGTGAGAAAATCAGGTTTGTCATTAGTTTCACTTGCAGCCACATTCTCTGATTACTTGATTACTACATGGTGATTGTAATGATGATGAGCTCTGCATTTTTTAAATACCGATTCAGAAATCCCACTGTTTTTTTTTTGTGTAATGGACGATGTAATTGTGGAGCAACATTAGAAGATTTTACAACATTGGATGCTGTGCTATTTCTCACCTACAATTAACTGTGTTTTCTGTAACATGGTATTACCAAGCAAGGACAGCCAGTGTTATAACTGAACCACAAGGGAAATGACGTAAACCAACATTTGGCTTAACTGTGCTGGTCCTTTTGATTTTTATTGGTCAAATTTAGCCAAAGGCTTTGAACAGATGCAAGTAATTATGGCACATGCGGTGATGGGGCAAAATGATTCATGCGTTTCCTGGATGAAGAATTACGGCAAACAGGATTAAGGTGCAGCCAATCTCATTTAAAACAAGAGAAAAAAACACCTTCTCTTCTGCTTGACTATAAAGCATACTTATGTAAGTATATATATACCTCTTAAAGAGGTCAAGTGGAGAGGTGAAGCTCTCTTCAGTGTTGACATAGATTACTGTAACCGTTAAGTGTTGCACCCTTTACTGTAAGCCCTGCCCCCCTTGGTTACCATTCTTACGAACATTACATGTCGTTTACAATGATAATGGTAGTTGAAGCACCTCTAAACTAGTGCTATGCGATATTGCCAAAAATTTTATCATGATAAAAACATTTATTTACATTTCAAGGTTAAAAGCTGATTTTTACTCCTGAGTGAAAACTGAAGAAACCAGATGGCTAATTATGTTGTTAAACCATTTTTATGGTCAGAATGGGACAAACACTTGATGCCAAACAGTGGATCACTGAACATACAACATTCAAAACTATTATGATAAAATCTTTTTCAACAACTATGATTCTGTCCCCTTTCCTCAACAAAATTATTTTTCTAATTGAAAAAGTAAGTGATAATTTGTTTGTGATTTAAATAAATGTAATAAAATATTCATTGACAATATACTGAGCATTTATATATATATATATATATATATATATCATATAGTACACATACACATATACAGATGACATGCACAATCACTCTCACCCACACCCTACCGCTGTAGGTTATTGCAAGGAAAAATAACAGCAACAAACAAAGTACCCTGGGCACCCAGACCTTCAAAGGCCCTTATGCCTCAGATTAAGTTGTACAAATTTTATTTATTTCAAATTTGTTTGTAAAAATGTACCACATTTCAGAACCAAAAACAAGGTAGGAGGGGTCTAGAGCTATTTATTTCCCACAGATCCCCCTACTGGATTTATCCGATCATGCAGGTAAGAAGTAATTTCTCCTCTGTTTTGCTCTATATTGCAGCGCTGGGGACAGAATTTTATTGGCTGATGACTCCAATGATGACTGGTGGAAGGTAGGTACGAAACCAACATGTTACCTACCCCTCATCTCGCTCACCTAAACGTTTTCTTTTTTCTTAGTATAATTAACACTAAAGATGCTAAATTCAAAGATAATGTTTGCAAGTTTGTTGTTGCGCAGTTTACATATAATGTGTGTTTTCCAGAAAAGCCCCAAAATTGCCCATATAAGAATTGGACTGATAAATTACAGGAAGTAAATTATAGGAGCAAGGCAGCAGGACACCTCAGGACACAAACACATGGCATATAAATTAGGGAAACAAAAGGGCCAAAACGTGACACTGCAAAGGCAGCCGGCTGCCACCAGACCATGAAGAAACTCATCATGCATTTTACCTCTGTTGTTGTTCTCTACAGGCTGTAGATAAACAGGGACAGCTGGCCTGTTTGGTCTTTAACAAGTCAAGAGACAAACATTAGCAGCTGATGAAATGTGACATATATAGTATTATATTCTTTATATCTATGGAACTGTAAAATACAACTTGTACAGGTTTTATGAACTGTAACCAACAGATCCCCTGTTGTTTTTTCAAGGATTATATCTTGTCAAATATGAAAACACTGGGTTTATAATCCTCTTATGTACTGTGCAGCTCTTCAAAATGTCAACTGTTTTCATGTTTGATGATTTTTTCAGGGCGTAATTGAGGACAGGATCGGTTTCTTCCCAGCAGCCTTTGCTCATCAGGTGCAGGCGGGGGACCAAGTGTTCAGGTGTAACAGGACATTTATCGGCTGTAGGGAACAAGGCCAGATCACCCTGAAGGAGGGACAGGTACTGGATGAAACCTCACGATGATTATAGGCAGATGATGGATGATTGAAGAGAAAATGCAGTATAGGGAGTGTTGTCATCAGGTGAAAACCTTTTAACTCTGTTGATTTTTATGTCTTTATCTTCTCCTTAAAAGATTATTAATTAAGATTATTAGTTTTCCTGTCTCAATGTCTGCATTTGCAGTGACATCTGCCCTCTGCTGGTAGTTCTTGTTGTTATCATTGTTAGATTGTTCAAGACATTTCTGAGTATTGACCTTTTGGCAGCAGATATGTGAGCAACTTTTTTTTCGGTTTTGAGATGCTCAACACAATGCAAGATGCAGACAGCAGGATGCTACCCTGTAAACATTCAAATTAAAGCCAATATGTGTAGAATGTGTGTAGGTTGAATGTGATAACAGGGTTGTTCAAATTACGGTAACAGCATAAATGCTTGTTTGTACAAAAATCCAGATGAAAGTTGGTGCAGTCTTGCATATCTCACAGCCCATTCATTTATGGTTGTGCATCATAGAGGTCTTCCATGAGTCCAGCACCTCATGGATCTGGGTCTAGAACCAAATTGCATTTAGCTAATTGGTTCTTCTAGTGCATCATAAAAATGTTGGATGTGACAAGTCTTATATATTGGTGGCGCATCATGCTGCTGCCACTGTTTACTCTCTATTTGGGTCTGTTTGGGTCAACCACATTTTGGATTGGGTCTAATAATGCTGAGGTCCATTTGGGTGGGGTCTGACTGTCCTCAGGAATGAATGTCTTTTAAAAAATTAATTATGCCCCTTGTAGCATACCTACGTAATTATTGGTTAATAAAATTATGAATATTAATATTTGGAAATATTAATATTCATAAAACTCCGGAAATTCTGTTCGCCCAGGGTCTCCAGACTCCCATGGTAACATTATGGTTTTAATAATTACACAATTATTCCTAGTGATCAGTTAGTAGTAATTGCTTAATCATTTCTATATATCGATCAGTCAATCTCTTATAGAAGGCGTAAGTCCTCCGTTACAGTGACGTTAAACAATACACACACAGTCCCTGTGATTGAGGTGAACTTTACTAGGTTTACTCAGGTGAATATAAATGTGGTTAAATATACAACAAAGAAAAACAATGACTAAACAGACAGAATGCAAGAATGAGAATGAATGGGGTTCAAGGTAAATTGAGTTCTATTGTGGGAAGAATTTGATTCATAAGGAGCAAGATATCTAGCGCACGTTATGATAATAATTCAGTTAAATTTGGTTAGGAGTTTGGCCTTACTGGGTGTTGTCAACCGTAGGCTGGGTTGAGCGGCTCCACGCTAGCGGCCCGATTCCTGGCTTTGTGCTAAGGATTCTTACGGGGGGCGCTTTGTCTGGATGTCCTCGGCCTGACAGTTAACCCTGGCTCTGTTCTGTTCTGCTACTGCTGGCGTAACGTGCCCACGTGGCTGGGTCCGAACTTCGGTGGGAGCAGTATAAGTTCATTCGACTAAAATAAAATTGTCACGATCGTGGTGTGGAGGCAGGTTGGAGAACCCAAACGCAGGACACAGAGCGGAGCAGGTATGGTATAACGAAGGGTTTTGATAAACAAACAAAAGCGAGCACACTTACAGGTGAGTGGCTGAATAACAGAAATCCAAAATCCAAAAGTACCGGGAGACGAGACAAGACGAGACGAGACAAGCAAGGCTGGTTACAGGCAGAGAGTACACACACGACAGACTGGGGGTAACATGAACAATGACCGGACAAGGACAAGACAGAAACACCAGGTATATATACACAGGGACTAACGAGCAGGGCGGGAGCAACACAGGTGACAGACATGAGACTAACGAGGCAGAGAGAGAGCAGAGGAAAACAGAGAGACTAGACATGACAAGCAGACTATATAAGAGATACTGGACACTAGACAGGACAGAACCCAAAACTCAACATACCAAGGCAGATACCAAACTCAAAAGTAAACACAAAGGATGGCCAACCGGCAGAGCGTGACAGTACCCCCCCACCGACGAGCGTCTCCAGACGGTCAACAAAACCCAAAACAGCCCCAAAACAAGGCACAAGCCGGCCCAGGGTGGGCGGAGGGAGGACAGGAGGAGGGCAAGTCGAGCCAGGGTGGGCGGAGGGAGGACAGGAGGAGGGCCAGACCAGGAACTCTCAGGAGGGTGGCCAGAGGGCAAGGCAAGGGGGCGACAGAGTTCGGGAGATCGCACAAGCAGGTCAAGGGGACAAAACAGTCCGGGGGAACCACCCAACAGGCAGATCATGCCCAGGAAACAGGGCAGGTAAGGCACTTGGCCTAACATGCAGGGCAGGGCAGAGGGACAGAACAGTTCAGGAGGCCGTCCCGGAGGGCGACTCAGGAGGCCGTGCAGACCAAAGGGATCACGGAGTTCAGGAGGTCGTCCCGACAGGCCGAGCAAATCAGGGGGAAAACACAGTTCAGGAGGCCGTCCTGGAGGACGACCCGACAGGCCGAGCAAATCAGGGGAAAACACAGTTCAGGAGGCCGTCCTGGAGGGCGACCCAGGAGGCCGTGCAGACCAAAGAGATCACAGAGTTCAGGAGGCCGTCCCGGGTGGCCAGAGGTGAACAAAAGTTCAGGAGGGAAACCCGGAGGTCGACCGAGTAGACCAGGAGGGCAAAACAGTTCAGGTGGGCGTCCCGTGGGACGACCCATGAGGCAGGGCAGAACAAGGGGGCCACAGAGTTCAAGGGGTTGGCAGGACGGCCAACAGTGAGGCAGCAAACCCACTGGGGGCCGAGCAGGAGGCCGATGGCAAGACCTCTTCGGAGGTCGGCACCCAAAGCTTGGGTGCTCTAGAGGCACAGCTGGGCTAAGGACCACCGGCGAGACAGCTGGGCTGAGGACCACCGGCGAGACAGCTGGGCTGAGGACCACCGGCGAGACAGCTGGGCTGAGGACCACCGGCGAGACAGCTGGGCTGAGGACCATGGACCGGACACGAGGAGCTGGAGTCGGCCGGACCACCGACTGGACAGCTGGGCTGGGGACCATGGACCGGACACGAGGAGCTGGAGTCGGCCGGACCACCGACTGGACAGCTGGGCTGGGAACCATGGACCGGACACGAGGAGCAGGGGTCGGCCGGACCACCGGCGGGGCTGAAGCCGGTCCATCCGCCGACAGGACACGAGGAACAGGGGTCGGCCGGACCACCGGCGGGGCTGAAGCCGGTCCATCCGCCGACAGGACACGAGGAACAGGGGTCGGCCGGACCACCGGCGGGGCTGAAGCCGGTCCGTCCGCCGACAGAACACGAGGAACAGGGGTCGGCCGGACCACCGGCGGGGCTGAAGCCGGTCCGTCCGCCGACAGAACACGAGGAACAGGGGTCGGCCGGACCACCGGCGGGGCTGAAGCCGGTCCGTCCGCCGACAGAACACGAGGAACAGGGGTCGGCCGGACCACCGGCGGGGCTGAAGCCGGTCCGTCCGCCGACAGAACACGAGGAACAGGGGTCGGCCGGACCACCGGCGGGGCTGAAGCCGGTCCGTCCGCCGACAGAACACGAGGAACAGGGGTCGGCCGGACCACCGGCGGGGCTGAAGCCGGTCCGTCCGCCGACAGAACACGAGGAACAGGCTGGGCCACCAACGGAGCTGGTGTTGGTCGGACCACCGACGGGAGAACAGGAGTCGGCTGAGCCACCAACGGAGCTGGTGTTGGTCGGACCACCGACGGGTGAACAGGAGTCGGCTGGGCCACCAACAGAGCTGGTGTTGGTCGGACCACCGACGGAGCATGAGGAACAGGAGTCGGCTGGGCCACCAACAAAGCTGGTGTTGGTCGGACCACCGACGGGAGAACAGGAGTCGGCTGGGCCACCAACGGAGCTGGTGTTGGTCGGACCACCGACGGGAGAACAGGAGTCGGCTGGGCCACCAACGGAGCTGGTGTTGGTCGGACCACCGACGGGAGAACAGGAGTCGGCTGGGCCACCAACGGAGCTGGTGTTGGTCGGACCACCGACAGGGCACGGGGAGCGGGAACCGGTCTGGCCACCGACGGAGACCCTGGAACTGGTGTCAGTCGGACCTTCGATGAGGGACCAGTAACAGGTGTCGGTAGGACGACCGAGTGAGACCTGGGAGCAGGAGTAGGCCAGGGATCAGGCAGGCGGCTAGCAGCGCTAGCAGGCCGGGGATCAGGCAGGTCTGATGTGGAGCTAGCAGCGCTAGCGGGCCGGGAATCAGGCAGGCGGCTAGCCGTTCTAGCAAGCCAGGGGACAGGTTTGTTGCCGACGGGTCGCTGATGGTGACCTCGTCGCCTCCGATGACCACCACGGGAACCCGAAAAGATGGCTAGGCGACTCCCTTCAAAGGACGACTCCGGGGAAAGCCTAGCCTCCAGGCTATCAGGCCATAGCCTAGCTGCCCGTGCTGCCTCTGACTCCCTGGCCTTCATGGTCAGGTAGGCCAGGAGAGTCATAGTCCCTGAGTCCTTGGTAGGTAGGGCAGGCAGGCGGACGGACAGGCTAGGCGGAGGACTAGCAGCGCTAGCCGAGCAGGATACAGGCAGGACAGGCGGAGGGCTAGCGGGCCGGAGAGATGACGGCCGGAGGCTAGCGGTCCGGGTGTTAGCCATTTCCAGGCTAACAGACTGAGGAACTGATGAGGACTTGGCTGGGGGATTGGCTGAGGTGTGGAGGAAGTCACAAACCCACCCAGGGAGAGAGTCTGCTGCTCCTGGCTGAGCAGCCAGGCTCTTCCAGGCAAGGGACACGATAGCTGCCTTATGGCTAACATGACTAGCCCCATACCACATATTCCTCAGCGTCAGAAGCTCCCTCAGCACGTCAGTCTGTTCCTCAGTTAGAGTGTCTGCTGGGCTCTTAAGTTGTCCGGTCATTCTGTCACGATCGTGGTGTGGAGGCAGGTTGGAGAACCCAAACGCAGGACACAGAGCGGAGCAGGTATGGTATAACGAAGGGTTTTGATAAACAAACAAAAGCGAGCACACTTACAGGTGAGTGGCTGAATAACAGAAATCCAAAATCCAAAAGTACCGGGAGACGAGACAAGACGAGACGAGACAAGCAAGGCTGGTTACAGGCAGAGAGTACACACACGACAGACTGGGGGGTAACATGAACAATGACCGGACAAGGACAAGACAGAAACACCAGGTATATATACACAGGGACTAACGAGCAGGGCGGGAGCAACACAGGTGACAGACATGAGACTAACGAGGCAGAGAGAGAGCAGAGGAAAACAGAGAGACTAGACATGACAAGCAGACTATATAAGAGATACTGGACACTAGACAGGACAGAACCCAAAACTCAACATACCAAGGCAGATACCAAACTCAAAAGTAAACACAAAGGATGGCCAACCGGCAGAGCGTGACAAAAATAAAGCTTTAAAGAACTTGGTTGTTCTTGAATGCAGAGTTGTGCGACTGAAACGGTCTGCTAACTTTAAAAAACAAACAAAAGAAAAAAGATAACTTCCACGAAAGGGAGCCGCACTTCGCGTGTGTTGTTTGAAAAGAGCAAAGAAATCTTCGCGGCAATGAAGGGCCGAACTCTTTAGGGCATTGCTGGGAGATGGGGCACGCTCCTCTGTAAAAGTGTGGAGTGCTGGAGTGGTACCGAGGAAAAAGACAAGAGAACAGAGCGAGCGTAGTTGGCTCTGTGCTTTTGTTGTTTGGGGCGTATCCCCCAAGGGGGAGGGCTTTATTTCCGGTCTCTTGAGAGAAGCTGTCCGTTAACTCTATTTCTGTATTTCAATCAAATACCTTTCCACAATCAAACCTAAAATATCAAACAATTCTTAGTTTTAAGCATTTGATAAAAAGGAAACTATTAAGTAATCATTGTAACAATGGTTACCAGTTAAACACATTTTCAAGATGAAAGAAACTTAACTCAACATTTCCTGGATAATATTGGCTGTTAAACATTCTTACTTAGAGAATATAAGCAAGTTACACGAACATGTCATCAGATTATACACAATAAAACAGCGTGATACATTAAACTGCGGGAGACGCATTACATGTCAGGCAGCGTCCTCCTCTGGTCTTTCTTATCAGTATTGCATATATGCGTGAGAAGGAGGGGGCAGGTTATGAGTCCATATTAACGGCTCTTTAGTGGGGTATAGAACCAGGACTGAAGGAAAGGTTCTTTGATGTTTGGAGTAATTAGAAAGGGGGGCACGGTTGCCATTGCTACCCTGTGTGGGGGAAGTTTAGCATCTCTTGACCTTTATTCAAAAGGGTTCTGATAGGCTGGTTCTGGATGAAGTTAGTCTCTGGGAAGTGTTGGGGTGACACCTTTATGGTCACTGAGGTCCTTACAGCCTGGTTCAGGTTGAGGTTATACTCTGGACAAGGTTAATATTGTCATTTTAATAGTCATGCATAGAGTCTGTTACCTCAACTTCACCGGAGGTCGAGGTTTTGTGGCTGACACTGCCCAAGCAACACTTGGGAGTGGAGCACGCCTTTCACCCCCTCCTTTGGGGTACTTTAGCTGTCTGTTGAGGCTCAACCCCACCCCCTCTTTCTATCAGGAAGAGAAAAAGACAATTTGGAATCTCCTTATTTTTGGCATAAAATAATTAAAACAACACACTGGCCGGTCCACTACACCATTGAGTTTTCCATGTGTCAATTTTGAGCTGTGTCCAAAATCTTTGACCCGTGAAGACACGTAGTGCATTGACCTCTGTTTATAGGAGTGTGCTGTTAACCTTATTTCACCACCCAAGCACATGCTTAAAGGTCCAGTGTGTAATATTGCTGAGGATTTATTGACAGTAAGATCCATTACTCTGTTTTCAGTGGTGTGTAAAGAACATACATAATAAACCATTATGTTTTTATTACCTTAGAATGAGCTATTTATAACTACATAACCGTGGGCCCCCCCTTCAACGGACATCGCCATGTTGCGTCATCATGTTCCTACAGTTGCTGAAAACGGACAAACAGCGCTACATAGTGCATTTCGTCACTACGTTCTTCTTGTTCTACTTCTGGTAGAATTCAGTCAGTGCAGACGCTAGATCACTACATTGAATACGTACATTAGAAGAAGAAGAAGTAGTAATAATATACTGCAGGGGTCGGCAAATACGTTTTGCACCAGAGCATCTTTTCAGCTATTAGATGGTGGATGAGAAGATAAGGCATAATATCGACCTTCATTAACATCGTGTTCAGTAAGCTCAGGACTTGTGCCTCGAGGGTTGTGAGTTTGATCCCAACCTGGGACAATTTTTTTTCTCTCTTCAAGAAATGGATTCTGCAGCGACTGTTTCTCACATGTTACGGCATGTGTGACACTGTTTTTGTGTCGGTGTTTGATCCACATCCATCAACCTACAGACGCTTTTTCATATACCCCAGTATCTCCAGGCAGAGAACATTTAGGGGAAACATGTTTTCTGATGGCTCTTTCAGAGGTATGTCAAGCAGGCTACAGACTCTTTTAATGTCATTCAGAATTTTTCAAAGTAAAAGCTCAACTCCAACTACAGCATTACAGTAAACAAGCTTCTTGCACTTTTATTCTTTTTGACTGGCCACTCTCTGCTGTCTCATAAAACACACCTTTTGTGCTGTGTCAACCACTCTAGCTCTTCAAGGAGACTGTGGCTCAGGAGTTAGAGCGGGTTGCCTGTTGATTGAAATGTTGGCGGTTCGATTCCTGGCTCCTTTCAGGTGTTGTGAAGTGTCCTTGAGCAAGATACTGATTCCCCTGGTGTTCCACCAGTGTGTGAATGTTAGTTTCTGTTTGAGCACTTAAGCTCTATGTGTGTGAATGCAGCTGTAGTGTAAAAGCTCTTTGAGTGGTCGAAAAGACTAGAAAGGCGCTATACAAATATGTTGCTTTTACATTTGAATACTTTGATGTCTGAAGCAGGATATTTTTTTGAAAGGAGAGCTCCAAAGTCAGAAATGTTCAAATTGTACACATAATGGCTTTATAGGAATCCATGCAATAAACTCCGCTAACCTTGCCGTCAAGCTAAGAACAAGCTTAGTTTATGATTAAGAGACTTTTTGGAGAAAGTAGTTGTATGTTTGCTGTCAGAGTTAATTGTCTGCCCAAGACATGACAGGATTAATTTAGACCAAACATTACCAGAGTTGATCCCATGAACATCGTCATCTTCATTGGAATGAAAAAGCAGTGACCTTTATCATGAACATTAAAATTTCACATTACACCTGTGTCAAATTCATGAACACACCCCAGCCATTAGGGCACATCAAATTCACATTATCCAGCAGCTCTTTAGCCATCTTATTAACCTCCTGCAGCTCCCACGTCGCCTCTTCCCTCCAGCGACTCTTCCCTCACATATGCTTATTCACTGAAAAGCTCGACTGGAGTTGTTTGACAGAGGATCTCTCTCAAGAGTTACCGTTAAATTAGCATTTTGGCTGTACTTAGATCAGGCCAATATTTTTTTTTCTTCTTCTTTTTCCACAATGCTTTCCAGGGCATGTTGGGACTTAGAGGAGGCTTAAAGCAAGCAACCCCCAGTGGAGATGAAACCACCCAAAACAAGATGAGTCCGTGACCTGCTGCCTTGCTTTTCCAGTCACACAAACCCAGGGGAGCATGTTGTAGAGTACTTTAGGCAAACCATTATGAGGGTCAATAAGTGAAATTAGGAGATTTTATTTTGTTGTTAAAATACAGTATTTATTCCTTCCCTTTCCTTTTGACCACACATATTGGTTTAGGATTGCAGTACTCATGATCGTAGCAATATTAGTAATAACTACAGCATCATCAACATCATCTTCATCATTGCTATTACATTTACCGAGAAGCAACTTATGATTCTTACTGCTAACCTCGATTATATTTTGGCATTGTGTATATTATCTGTTTATTGATATTTTTATACTTACACCTTTGTTGCTGCACAACAATTTCCCTTGGAATAAATACAGTCCTTACTTATCTAAACTGTACTGCACTTCGACTAAAAGGACATGTGGGGCCTTTTGTGCTTTATGAACTAGTAAAAGAGTTTTAAAATCAATACAAAACCTAAAATGGGTGTGATGTGTGTTTTGCAGTTTGGTGTCTGGTTGCCAAGTGTTGTAACAGCAATGTGTGTAACAGCAATTTCCCAGGTTTAAATTGTGCACCTTTGCTGCATGTGACCGCCTAGTTCCCCACATTACCCCGCCTGCTGTATTATATATACAGTAATAATATATACTATCAAATGAAACCCAAAATATCCAAGAAATACTTTAAGTCATATGCATAATGAATACCTGTTTCATTTTTTTTTGTTTCTTCTGGGAAGGATTTCTTGATGTTGGCCGATGATGTGTTTTTTTTGCTATGTTTGCAGCTGTCACCTGTACTCTATATTTCTTTCTGTCTTCGCTTTAGTGTAACATTTGCCCTTTCCCTCAGATCTGTGTGAGCAGTGAGGGCGAACGCAGCGGCTTCATCAGAGTGGCGAGTGGAAAGAGGAGAGGCTTCGTGCCCTGTGACGTTCTGGAAATCATCTGAGACAAACACTTGGAGAAATGAAGAGAGAGAGAGAGGGAGGAAGAATCAGCCGCCTGGAGGTCAGAGGAGGAGGAAGCTGAACCTACATAATGGCTACCAGAAACCAGCGAGGGAGTTTGCCTCATCAGAAATAGAGTTTGGACTTAAAAGTGATGCTGTTTTTTTCAATGAGAACTCCAATTTCAAGCATCTCCACACAGAGAGAGATGCTGAGACAACAGAGCGTTTGTTGTTCGCAGGGAGACAGGAGGTCACTGTTTCACTGCATCTGGTTTAATTTTTAGAGCCGATGTGCGTTCTTTTTTTCCCCCCTTCATTTTTATTCTGCTACAAGCTGTATATTTTTTGAAACTGCTGGCTGGAAACAAACACTTACTACAATGATTGTTTTCAAGGTTTCAATACATACAAACGCTTCCTCCTGCAAACAATTTAGTTTCTGAAGCTTTTTACATTATGCTCCAAGCAAAAGTTGAGCTTTTATTGCAAAGTAGTCAGCAATAGGCACCGAAATATCTGATTATTTTGGATGACAAAACCCTGACACCAGAAGGTGATAGAAAAATTGGATGAGAATAAGGTACAAGGTGGATTTTAAAAAAATCATTTTACAACACAGTTGTATAACAAGATTAAGTTGTAGTTCCCTCATAAAAGCAAATGTTATAGACAAAAATAATTGACAGTAGATTGGTGGATATATAATAAGGCATGGACATAATATTTTACATGTTAAGGATCAATTGACGAGTCCCAGCCTGGGAAAGAAGCTGCTCTGTGGTCTGACTGCAGATACTTCTGTATCTCTTGCCAGACGGCAGCTCTTTGAACAGGCTGTGGCTGGGTATTATACAATGAAAATAGAACATTTACTTTCTTTGAAGCCTCAAATCTTCCTTAAAATCTCTCAAAAACAAACTTCCTGTATAACTAGAGAACATTTACAGTCCTATGACAGAACTAAAGAACAGATGAGAAACATCAAAGCACATCAGATGCAACAAAGAGACGCGGGGGAGGATTTTCAAAGGAGTGACACAATCAAAGACTTCTGATATTCTCAGTGGTCTTCCAAAAATATCGCCCTCGTACTCCCCAGGTTTATAGTGTCTCACTCACTGCAGTCCAGGATTTTACTTAATGATGATGGTAACATTTACATTTTTATCATCATTAGAGTCAAAACGACTATACGAGTTTGTTATGTACCAGGTGTAACATTTTGCCTTGTCTCCATGCTGCAGAATCTACCAGATTGATCTTTTAAGGCTTTTAAAAATATTTATTTTTCATTGATTTATTAATTGATTTAATATTCTCTCTTCTTGGTTGTTTTTGTCAAAGATTTCACTGCTTCATTGCTACAAAGCAGAAGTGGATGAGAAGGTACAGCTACGATATAATCAGGACAGTAATGATTTCATCCTCAGCGCTCATGTGATCAGCTGGCCTGGGATTGTATGATGGTGTCTGTAAGACAATGAAACGTAAGAAAACGATACATTTCTAGTTAGCATGTTAACTTTAAATGTCATCACTCGTGCGGTTTCCCTCATTTCTCGGCACGGTACTGAACAGCTCTTTGTTCAGATTCTAGTGAAGTGCATTTAGGGAAAGGTGTTGCATCATTGTAGATATAGTATATCTTATACAGGTTGTTCTGCACTGAAACTTGGCTTTATTGAATGTCCAAGAATTCTACATTGTACATACTGTACATACAAGATTAAAGATCTTCTTTATCACAACAACTGTGAGTGTATTATGATGATTTTTGTGCTGTCTTTTCTTCTTTCTGTTACACTGAGTTATTGCAATTAACTATAAATCTATCTGAAAGGATTATTCCTGATTTTCTATCACGGTTCTCTTTCCTCTCATTCTTATTAATAATCCATCGATAATAAGCTAGGCATTTGCTCAAGTGGGCTGTTGCAGTTATGCATATTATGATGTGATTCAGTTGCCAGTCAAAACAAGTGGATTGTGACTGAGTTATACAGAGTGCGTAAAGAACCAAATCCATTTTCAAGCAAGAAAGTGGTAAAAACCAAAGTTAATGGGAAGTCAAGTAAGAAGTGCTCAGAGATCATCTGTCCCAAAGTCTTAATGTAACATTTTTATCATTTTAATTATCGACTACAAATCACACAAATTGTGGGAAATCAAAAATTAATTTGTCTAAGCTTTAAAACGACAATTAGACATTATTCTTTGTACGTGTATGTACAAGAGCCAATTCTGATGCAAGAAAGACTCAAAAAGGAAGACTGAGTGTCTCCCATAACATAAAACATTAAGCGAAATGAGATCAAGAATCTTCTATGAATGCTGTGTGGCACCAGCGGCACATGTGATTTTACAAGGAGTACTTTAAATATCTAATTAAATAAAAAAAAGGAATATCAACCAAAATAGAGCTCTATTTGAGAACTTGACCTAAAGATGAACTTTTATGCCAATATGGAAGAGAAAAAGTCCTAAAAGTAGTAAGAATAATGGAAAGTTATTATTGGGTGCTTGCCATGTTTTGAAATAGTTTTTTTTATTGTTTTAGTGTGTTCTTTTTTTGTGTGTGTAAAACTTGTACAGTCCCATGACAACTGTGCAAAACTCATCTGCTAATAAAGTGATACGGTTGGCCTTGAGTGAGGATTGTTCTGTCACTCTGTACTGTAGCCTGTTGTACAAGCAAGATCATTCACAACTGTCATTATGTTGGTTTACTGTTGGTTTATTAGAGTGACAGCAACATCCGGTTACTGACAGTGTTACTGAGTGTAACAGCCTCTGAACTAGTGAGGAACAAATAGGTAAACAAAGCTTGAAATCCGTCAGCGTGATAAAGGTATGAAAGTACCATGTGAGAGCAGAGATGCCTGTGAAAAACACCTTAACACTTTTACACATTCACTGCATGAGCTGAAGATGTGTGTAATCTAATGTTGTAGCTGGTGCATAGCTGTCTAGTTACAGACAACAAAATGTAAAGATCAGTGTAAGAACACTTTGTAAAGAAATTTTTAAATTTTCATACAGAACAAACCATGTATATGCTGGCCGAGTCTTGTTGAGTCGTGCAGTAGTATGTTCCAGATTGACAATATTACATTAACAAGACTGTGGATCCAGAATGATTTCATACATACATCAGGGGAAAACCAGTGCTCAATAATTGTTTTCTTTGCAGAGGTAAACTCCATGAATACCATATTATACTGAATTTGCTTCAAAGTAACATCAGAGCCATAATTAAGGAGGCAAAAAGCAGGATTAGGAACATAAGCAATATCAAGTATATCAGATAGAGCAGAGTTTACATGGTACCAAAACTGAAAGATAACAGGACAGGTCCAGAACATGTGTAGAAATGTTCCAGGTGCAGTACTGTGGCATATGTGTCAGTCGTATGCAGCTTGTAGTCTTATCCGAAATCTCTTATAGGGTGTAGTGTACGCTCTGTGAATTGTTTTAACACGTCACACTAAGATTGGACCACATTCTGTTCCAATCTAGAGTTATATTAAATCTTCCCAGCTCCCTATTCCTAATGGCTTTGATTGGAAAATTATTTGCTCTGAATTCAATTAGTTTATTATATATCACAGACACAGAGGATTTGCCCAGTAGTGGCACAACCCATCGTAACATGGGGTGTGAGGGGAGGGAAGAATTCCAGGGAACTCCATACACTTTTAGGGCTGCTCTTAGTTGAAAGTATACAAAATAGGAGTCCGCAGGGAGAAAGAACTGTGTCCTTAAGTCTTCGATGGAACGAACAACATGGACGTTGTACATGTCCCCAAACTCATTTATTCCCAGGTATGACCAAGAAAGCTGGGTGATCGGTTGGCTGCCACATAATAGAATTGGGTTATGCCATAATGGAGTCTTCTGACAGCATTTCAGCGGGCCTCCCATCCAACATTCAGCTTGCCTCCACACCCGTATAGTGTTTGCAATGAGGGGCCCAGGTGAAATTAAAACGCTGCCATGCTTTACCTTCTGCTGTTTCACAGTGTAAATATGACATGTTAGACACATTTTTACGCTTTGTTTGAAGTCCCCAAATTACCAAACCAACAAATGCATCTCGTAGAAAATTGTGTGTGAATGAGTATGTGCCTGTGAGGTAGGTTTCAGTAGGTGTGAAACAGGAAGGGGAAAGCTGACTAGTTGTTGGTGGTCTGTGTTTCACAAATAAACCTGTAAAAACCAATAAAGGAAATGCAAACTAAAGCAGAACAAACTCATTTCGGAAAATGCCTACGTGAGGCATGTAAATAGGCAAGATGATTCACAGTGACATCGACTGTAACTAATAGCAGATGCCTCAACTGCACATGTGAACAACACACAGCAAATCATGCAAATATTTTATGTTCAAAGAGTTCAGATATCTCTGTAAACTTCCAGCAGTTTTCAAGGGCTATGTGATTAGGAGATAATGGAACCAGAATAGTTTGTGCTTCACATAGAGGACAAAATACACACATACAATTACAACCACACATACACAAATATATACATATGCATGATAAGGAGGGAAGGCTGTTCCAAAGCTTAAGATTATTTTAAGTAAATTTTGCACATCTGAAGCATATCTGGGTGGAGTAACAACTACACACATCTACAATTGGCTTATGCTAAGTCAGAGTGTTTGCAAAAATGGTTAACACTTAATCTGGTAACTAAGCACATATGCAGCTTTTGTGGTCATCAAATGCATTCTTTGCTCACAGCACAATTTTCCATTGAGCCAACACAGTTTCACTCCCTACTGGTCAAATGTCTGACGCATGGTCAAGGCCCTTTGTCGTCGCTTTTTAAAGACTTGGGTAGCCCTTTTGCATCAATTATTGACATTTAGGGATCCACAGTCAAGTTAGCAACGCTTAGCAACAATAAATATGCAATATCCGGTTACACTTTCAAGATAAAACGTAACGTTTCGATACATTGCCATGTTGAAACGCGCATAATTAAAGTCGTGAAACGTTGCAGTTTCGTTACGTTTAGGCACAGAAAGTACTTGGTTGGGTTTAGGCAACAAAACTACTTGGTTAAGGTTAGGAAAAGATCATGGTTTGGGTTAAAATAGCTATGTATGACAATTAAGACTTAAGTTAACTAACGTTAATGTCAATTTACCTCACTCGCCTAAATAAAAACATTTAATGTTTTGTTTCGCACGGGACACAAACCCTGTTCCCCTGCTTCAAGGTCCGGGTTCTGGCCCTCTATCCACCCCAATCACCTCCTTACTTCGTCTTTTCTCTTAAATATCATACTTGCCTTTACCATCAAAAACTGACACAACAGGGCTTCCCTCAATACGTCGAACTATGACGTCAAAGGGATCCCTAGTGCGTCACAAACTGACGATTATGGCTCTTGACCAAGCGTCCATATGTGACGACTTGGGAGTGAGACCGGGTAGCGTGTAAACAACAAATCATTCTACATTTACCACCCAAAGACGATGAACTTTGACAAATATTGAAGCAAGGTTCAAGTTCCTGAAAGTTTATTCATGAAGCATAATCAATAGAGACCAGGAGCTGCTTTAAACACCACAGTAGAGTTTTGGAAATCATTGGCAGTACTGTAAAGATATCTGTCTTGTAGGAAAATTACTAAACCTTGCAAATAGAAATAAATGTCTGATTCCCAAAGTTACACCACTGATTGACAATAGTCCACAGCCTGAAGTGGAGACAACCTCACAGTTATGCAAAATTAGAGAAATTAGAGATTCTCAGACCTGTCAAGACCTGCTTGAAGGACTATGGCAAATAAGGGAGTGACACTTAAAATTAAATGATTTTGCTCCTGTCACACATGAAACACTGTGGATTTCTGGAAAATTGTCATTTAACTTGTGTTCATTTTGGACATTTTTGTGTGTACCTATATGAGACTGGGTGTACCTGATGCCAAATTAGATATTTAAAAATAGAGAAAGTTCCTGAATTACAAGAGTTTTGTTTTGAAAAGCTCCATTAAGCAATATGTATTGTGTAAGATGGCTCTTATAGTGATGAGATGGGATATCCTGGGCAATGAATAAATATAATTCTCTTTTAAAAGGAGCAATTTGGTAAAACATAAAAAATGCTGTGTTTGACTTTTGCAGTTTTCATTCTTGTGGTGAATTAAGTGCTGATACATGTGTTTGAGAATAAAACTGCAAAGCTATTAAGCAGCATAAAAAGCCACAGAAGGAGTAGCTGAAGTCAACTCTGATGAAACAGCGAGTCCAGCCTTCAACATCTATGTTCTCCCGCTCTCCGCAAGTAAGACAGAAACATTGTTTCCTTCATGTTCACAATTTTTTTTTTTGAGACTTAAATTGTTTGTTATTAGCCATTGTTAAATCACTGGGGCACCAAATTAAAGAGGAGGAGCATTTTCCATCCCAGTTGAAAGGAGAGAGCAGACCATCGTGCAGAGGAGGACACACACACACACACACACACACACACACATACACACACACACACACACACACACCCTGATGAAGATGTTACTAAACATTTAAACAAGTATGTGATGAGAAACTTGTTTTGTGTCAGATATTGCAAGATGGAGGTTTGCAAGACCTTTGTAGCAGCTGTAAGTCACTTGTCACCAAAGTGAAGAAGAACATGGGTGATGCTACAAAATATAGTGTAGCATAGTGTACTTGGGACATTTTTACTTGTAACTGAATAAACTGTAGATAATTGCTTCTGTGAATTTTGAGATT